GTGAAACAGCTAAGCCGATCTTACAGCTCATTAGCGCTCCCCCAGCTTTCCTTGTGCCTGCTTATTGGACGCTCTGTGGAGTCAGTTGTCTTGCTAGAGCATGAGAAAATTAACCTGTTGAGGAAGAATTGATTAATTTTGTAGTTGAATGACCTTAACAGAGGAGCTGGCACAAGGAATGTGGAGAGTGGCACCACTCCACTTGCATTAGGTTATTTTTTTAAACTGGTTTGTGCATCAGTAAATGGTGCCTTAGTAGCAGGAGCTACTATGCTGAACATCATGTTTATGTGTACCAAGGGACCAGACTGACATGGGTAGTAACTGACAGCAAAATACTGCAATGCAGTTGCTCAGTTTTCCCTGAGATTTAAATAACAAAGCATCAAAGGGTATTGTCTAATAGTGCTACTAAAAAAGAAGAAACACAAGGTAAAAGTAAAAACTTATTTTCCAGACTCCTGCCTGAAGGCTTGATATCAAAGAGACAATGCTTATTAAAACGTAAGGTCTTGGAGTTCCTCTCTCAAGTATTCCTGGGGAAAAGGAGACTACTTAAGATACTGAATTGCTTTCATGCCTTTTTTTTGAGTTTCCTGTTCAGCCAGGACCCCAGATTCATAACAGGAAAATCTCCTTTAAGAACCAGGACAATTTACTGAATACCTCTAGTGACAATATCTACTAAATATATATATATTCTGTGTAAGTACTTCTGGATATCTGCTTCACGTTTACAGGCAATTACAATATTTTTGTACTTCTCCTATCAGTTTGGTTATATATTCAACACTTGTCTTCTAATTCTTGCAATACAAAGTTCCTTTATTTTGTGGCCGTTACTCCTCCTTCTTTTTCTCATATAGTCCATCAATAATCACTGCGTATTATCTCATGTCTTAACAATTTTGGGAGCTGATAACCTGTCCTTATAAGATCAGCGGCGGATTCACTGAACTCTACCTTTTAGAGCTGACTCAACACAATTACTATATCAATGTTCTGATACCTTCTGCAAACAATTTGTTAGGTACTTGGCTAAAGTTTTCTAGAAAGACACCTAAATTAAGTTTGTTAATAATTGATTTACATGCAAACGAGGTTTGCCTGTGAATTCCTGCTCACTGCTAATTGAGGTGTGTGTGTTTGTATGGTCAGCTGGCTAGATATCAGGAGTGATTTAAATGTTTATGCCTCATGTGATCTGAGGTATCTATAAGTATCATGTGAGATGTTGTTTGCTTTCTTGTTCCTAATTTTAAACACAAGCCTTTTCTGTGGCAGTCTGTCATTGAGTCTGTGAGCCATGTTGAGACATTCTCCTTGGAGAACCGTGGCCAGAGTTTAAAATTAATTTTCCAGAAAACTTGGTTCATTTTAAAGGAAGGCTAATTTATAGAACCAAGAAGATAAGTATTTAAGGACATTATACCAATTAAAAATTAATGATAGTTGATACATATCCAAAGGTGTTTGCATTTCAGATGAAAGTACTAAATAAAGGATCAGCTGATGGCTTTATAGGTACTATTTTTGTTTTCTAAATGAAATTTAAGATCCCTGTATTCATGGCTCTTCTTGAAGACCCTTTTCTCTTTGATTCATGAGCAGTATTAAGGCAAGTCACTTTCCAGGGTGCAATCTGATTAATGTCTTTGGCTGCAAACTGTGAATTGGTCATTAAGGTTTAAGGATAGTGATAGACAGGAGTATCAGTGTATCCTAAAACTATTGTAGTTCCCAGACTTGGAAAAGTCTGTATCCTCTTTTAAACTCTCAAATGAAATTTGTAATTGCACTTTCCATAAAGTTTAATCAAACAAGAACACATCCCAGAAGGAGACCTACTAGTTTTGTCAGGTCAGCTGAGACAAAAAGCCCAGCCAAGGATACCATAACAGTGGAAGTGAATTTGGATTATCACTGTATTAGAATGAGTTCTGTTGGGATTACCATCTTTGTGAAAAATGAGCATATGCTAGAACTAACAGATCATCAAATTTGATGGAAACACTTTTTTTCTGCTGAATATGAATTCTCATTATATTTCCAAATGTTGCAGTTCAAAAGTCAGTACATGTATTGCAGAACTGCAAGTTAGGGAAGCAAGGGTACTGCTTGAGATTTTTCTTGGACATCCAGTTTTAACTAGTGCAGATATATTCTGCAGAACTTCACTTGCCAGTTAATTTGTACATTTATGGGGCCTCTCTGCAGGGTTTAAAAAGTAAGAACTCTTTATAGTGTTTCCAGGAAAACGGCTTAGAAACTACAGATCTTGATAGATGAGAGGATAAGGAGAAAAATTGCTTACAGATTACTCTGCTTGGAGGTGCTTTGTGTGTATGGTCTGAAAGCAAAGGGAAATGTGTTGGGTTTTGGTTTTTTTTTTTTACTGCTTTCAAATGCCATCACAGAAAATTCAGAAAGGTATGTCTTTATCTTACAGAATTAATCTTCAGTGTGATCTTTTTTAACCTGTTACTTATCAAAAAGCCACTAAGTAGTTCTCCAGCCAAAATGTAAATCATTAACACTGTTAAATTGTGTGGGGTGAGGACTGAAGATCTTGCATGTTTCTTTCCATAATCTGAAAAATCAAAATTTGCATTTTGTTCCCTATAGCTTCACTGTGAACCCTCTTCAGTTTGCATAATATACTTTAGGAAATAAAACACTAATGGTAAATTACAGTGATTAGCAGTTTAACTGTTAATTGGAAATATAAACATGAAAGTAACTTTTTTGGTTAATCCCTGTTTTATAAACAAATAGACATCACACCTGTACATGAAACTTTATTTTTCAAGTCCAGTATTATGTGGTAAAACTTGCCCTTATCTTTTGTTTAGAATTAGATAAAATTACCACTTTTCAACTTGTTCCTTATCATCCTTTGAGTCAAAATTAGTACATAATGTTTCTCATCTTCTGCTCTGAACTGGACACAGGAGCATAGCCTCTATCCTCAAGAAACTTGAGGATAAAATACCTTAACCTAATGAAACTTGCAGTTAATCTAAGATCACTCCATTAACTCCAAGTGAGACCTTGTACAGTTCCCTGCTTTCTGTACTCTTCTTGATAAATGTATTTGGATTATAATCTTCAACTTCTTCAGTTCTTCTTCAGTCTTCCTACTCTGAGTGGGAGTCCTTACGATTATTTGAGTGGTGTTTGGAAACCTCATTAAGTTCTTAAAACCCTCATACTTTGGGTGTTTGTCTAAGTCTTTGAAAAGTGTCTTTGCTGGAATAACTTGATTTTTACCCAAGTAAATGAGATTCCAGGGTAGACCAGAATGTCACATTTTTACTTTGTTTTGCATTGAAATTGAAGACAAAATCAACCTGTTCTGTCCTTGTGCAACTGGCCAGCCATGAATGATTGATATAAATAGAATTACATTCTGTTCCTTTTCTAATTAAAAGCACTGATACAGCACAGGCATGAGACTGTGGAATAAGCTGTTCCTTTGTAGTTCTATAAGCAATAACTAAACAGCATTTTGTGGGGCTTCAAGACTGAACTTCAGTAAATTTTTTCTAGGGTGTGATGCAATACTATAATCTTCCTTACTATGCTTTCCAGTATATCGGAGTCCTTGAAATATGACCTGAAATAAACTGTGGTCAGCTACTGGGTCTTTTAACGTTTCACTTGAGACTACAAAAATAAAACCACTAAAAACATAATGCGAAAGTAGGGGTAGTTAATAAAGAAATCCTGAGGTATATCTTTTTTGGTGGGGCATAATGTACTGTGGTTGAAGGTTGTAAGAGTAGTTGTCCAGGTCTATAGTCTGAAGTTCTGTCCCTTTTTTTTTTTTTTTAGTTTGCAATAAGCGTTTGAAAGCATATCTGGCTTTCCAGTTAAATGAGGTGTTCCACTAAAAGATATTATCTCTTTCTTTAAGCCACTGCTAAGTATTGGTGTTTTATGAAACTTAAACTGTTTTGATGAAATAATTGCCTGAAGTGGCCACAAAAACCCAACAGTAAGAGTAGGTCTGCATTAAAAAACTTCGAACTTAAACATTGACAAGTAAACAGGATACAGTTATACACGCCCCAGAAAGGCTGGGGTGTGTGGAGCTGGAAGGGGTGGGGGGACCCTTAAGTGCTTGACTCCTAGATTTATCTAATACAGAGAAACATTGCAGTTACTTAAGTATAATTGCGTTTCGGTTTCTTGAGGGAAAAATGATTAAATATAACAATGTTAAGAAGCTTCTTTGGAAACTTGGTGCTGAAAAGCGCAAGAGCATTTTTTTAAGCTTAGTTCTAACTTAGAAATAATATTCTTGTCTCCATCTAGTGTTTAAAAGAAGGGAAACTAAAACTTCATCAAAGGAATACTGGCATTTAGTATGTGCCTTAAGAACAGTGAACTTCAGAGAAGATGCAAATACAGGACCCTTCCTTCCAAGTATTACTGATGTACTGTATCAAAAAAAAAAGTGAAGATAAAACTTATTGCATCCAAACCTGAATGCAAAGCACATGAAACCATGTATTTGGATGATTATGCTAGCCAACTAAATCCTGTGAATCAAAAATGTAGTTGGAGGTGAAGAAGTGAAAATAAACATAAATGGAGCTGCTTTCACTTTTCACATTTTTTTAATGTCAGATTGATGGTTTGCAAACAACTGTTTACAGAGAACAGAAAGACTTGCACGTGCACCTGTAATAATCTGAGGAAAAAATTATTTCAGAAAGATTCAGTTTGCACTTTAAAACACAGATAACTTTGAGACCATCTGGTTTTCATACCTATGCCCTAGCATGACCTGTTCCTATACAGTCTGCTCTTTGAAGTTATGAATTGTTGATCCAGAATTATTCTACATGGTGGCTCTCCATCTAATGATTTTTGAAAATCCAAATATTTTCAGTGGAAAATGTGCATGCAGTACTTTGTTCTTATGTAATATTTTTTTTATCCAGTAACAAAACTTAATGGTATCTCTGGATGCAGTGATACTGCATATGAGGGCTACAGCATTAAGATGTGTATATTCTCATGTAAAATGTTATATGCTTTAATTTTAAGTGTCTCATTTTTATATCTTTCAGTTCCAGGGGATTTAGGTAATCAGTTGGAAGCCAAGTTAGATAAGCCATCAGTAGTGCATTACCTCTGCTCTAAGAAGACAGACAGTTATTTTACGCTCTGGCTGAATTTAGAATTACTTCTGCCTGTTATCATTGACTGCTGGATTGATAATATCAGGTGAGACCACAAACGTTGCTCTTTGCAGTTATTGCCTTTCCTTAGACTGACATGCTTTGTACAGAATGACCACCTTAAACTTTCTGTTCTGATTCAAGACCAGTGAGAGAAATGACCTGGAATTTTGCTAGGTAGAATAATGGGACGGATCCAAAGATGTGGTGCTGTTGCATCTGAGGTAGCTGTTCATTTCTGATGGAAAACAGAGGTTCTCTTTCTTCCACTTTGTCTCCTACTAGTTATCTAGTGTTGGTTTGGGCACTTATCAGGCACTTCTGTAAGTTTATCTAAAGCAGAACATCATCCGCTTTTTTGATGAGTTAAGCTTTGACGAGGCAAGGGGGAAGGAGGTACTTTGGGCACCTCGTGGGGGGGGGGACGGGACGGGACGACACGGGACACACGACACGGACGATGGGATGGGATGGGATGGGACGGGACGGGATGGATGGACAGCCAGGAGGAATGTGAGCTTGCCCTTTTGCTGGCAGTGTCATTAGCAAGCAGTCTCACAGGCAGCTGAGACAGATGGGGTCCATCAAGGGCAGTCTGGAAGTCTTTCCAGAATTATTTTGGTTTAAAACATTACCTAATTTAAAGCTTCTAGACTATTTAATCATTCAATCTGCTTCATTAATATTCCTGTAAAAAGTCATATAAATATCTCTCTGAAAACAATGAAATATTTAGCTTGTGCAGTTAAATATTGTACTGGTATGTTGCTCTTTTATGTGAATATAGTGAGCTGTAGTGAAGTTGTACCTCTGCTTTAAGTCTTGCTATATATGCCTTACACAGGTTAGGGAGACTTGGTGTGTGAAGATTTGAGTATCAGTTAAGATTCTAAGACTTCTGATTGCAAGTTTTTACCCTAGAAGAAACAGCAATTGTATTAATATAGTATTAAGAACAAGTAAAAAACCCCCCAACAACAATAATTAAAAAACCCAACCCTGACTCAATCCTCCAAATCCTTCATATTTCAAATTGATTTTAAAAGTATCTACAAAACACTCAATAGCTCTGTGTTTCCTGAGGTTATTAGTCAAGAAATGTCAAGTACTCCCTTAATCTGGTATAGATGTTCTAGTTAAACAGAAATGAATTATTTTTATTTAGGAGAATTTTTCTGATATCTGATTTTACAGGTATTTTATCTTCTACTCCTGCATTATGTTCTTGACAAGTTTTCTCCATTGTGTGGCTTAATGCAAAGTGAAATGTTTCGAACTATATAAAGTAGCTTATTGTAAAGCTGAAGTTCAGACACAATTCTGTATACTTGGTTTTATAGAGAAGTCTCAGATTCTACATGTAAAGCATTAAACTAATTAAAATAATTGTTTGATTGTATAAACTTTTAGCCATTAGAGTACTCCTACCATGTCTGCCTATTTGTGTGTGTTTTGTTTTTTTTTCCTTCTGTATAATAGTACTTAAAGTTCTTGTTACTGCACTCAGACTATAAGAGTAGTTGAGAGCTGTCATGTGGTAATACGACATGTTTCATGTTTTTCTCTCTCCTTTTTTTCTTTCCCCCCAGGCTAGTATATAATCGAACAAGTAAGATTACAGAACCCCCAGATGGAGTGGATATCAGAGTCCCAGGTTTTGGGCAGACATTTTCCCTGGAATTCCTTGACCCAAGTAAAAGGAGCGTTGGTATGTACAAGCTGTGTCTGAAGTGCTTTGTCACTTGTAGGATTTTTCCAGCGTGCCTTTACACAACAAGCTACTGAAATGTGATTTCAAATTACAATTGTGTTTAGAAGTAGAAGTAGTTTTTGTTTTCATTGTATTGTATTATTTTATCTGTTTGGCCTGATACACTGAGACAAGCTAATTCCATGTTATTTAGTTTTGTGCCAAATTTAAGTTCTCTGGCTGACACCTGAAAATACAGAAAATTCTGTGACTGGAGCTTGACAAGCAAAACAAAAATAAAAATACTTAATTTTAGCTTGGTCTGAGTAAGATGTCCTTTGGCCTTAGGAATGAATTAATAAGAGGTTTTAATAATGGTATTCCCTTACTTTTGGGGGACAGCAAGCATAGCTCATGTTGTTTAACATGCAGCTTTCTAGACTGTCAAAGATTAAGATTACAGTTTTAATGGCTGTATATATGGTATCAGAGATAATGCCTCCAGAACTTACTTTTGTGATCATGTCTGACAGCTGCTTCTAATGCTAATGTTTTCACTGCTCTGTTTCTCTTATTTGATGTCTACAGGCAGTTACTTTTATATGCTGGTGCAGAGTCTAGTAGATTGGGGCTACAAACGGGATGAAGATGTAAGAGGAGCACCTTATGACTGGCGAAAGGCACCAAGTAAATAACGTATTGTTACTTGAACAAAAGTTTCTCTTCCAACCAGCAAATAATGTTTTGGGTCTCTTCTCCTATTCCACCTGTACAATTAAACTTAATTTTGACTAGTTCTTGGAGCCTGAATACCCCCAGACTCAGATGAAAGCTCTGTGGTGTGGTTTCTTTTTTTGCTTTAAACAATTTGTTACTTAAGACTTGCTTAAAAACAACAACACACCACCAAAACGCATCCTCATAAAAAACCACCCCTCCTGTGTAATACTGGAATTTCTAAGCTCTGCATTATTAATTTGACAAATGGTTTGAAAAAAAGCGCCTTTTAAAGAATTGTGTTGAAGTTCAGCATTCACAGTTAATAATTATAACTATGTAACCTGTGTATGTTTACTTTAGATGAGAATGAAGACTATTTTGTGGCCCTCCGCAAGATGATAGAGTTAATGTATGAGCAGTATGGAAGTCCTGTTGTCTTAATTGCCCACAGTATGGGTAATATGTACACCCTCTACTTCCTCAACCATCAGACTCAGGATTGGAAAAACAAGTACATCAAGGATTATGTGTCATTAGGCGCTCCATGGGGAGGAGTGGCTAAAACTCTGCGTGTGCTGGCTTCAGGTAGGTAATTTGAGACCTTGCAATGTATTTTGTTAGTAGTGCAAGGTACTAACTAGACTGTTAACTGTAAGATTGAGGGATGAGAGTTTAAGATACTATGAAGTTACAAATAATCTTTTCATAAGCGGTGGCAACTTGATGTTTCAAGCCCTGTGACCAGACTGTCATTCTTCATGTTCATGGGAGTGGACTGAATTTTGTTAGATCCCTTAACCAGGAGCTGTGTCCCCTCTTGACCTCTCCTAACCTCTTTTCAGCAAATTGTTGTGTCATCTGCTGTTTGGCCTGGTGTCTTCTATTTCTGTCACTTCAGCCTCCAGCCTGATTGCTCTCTGTTCTGCAAAGCTAGTAAGGACTCCAGAGCATTCAGTAGTTTTCTTTGATTAAAGATCACACAGCTGCTTGAGGTTAACATTAAGGGAAAATTGCAGACATGTGCAGTGGGCACTGCTTCACCACCAAATGCCTGTCAAAAGTTCTAATGCTTTTAGTTATAACTTAACTAAAAACTTATAACTAACCAAAAGTTATAAGGAAAGTGATTCTTGGAGATCTTGGTTTTAGTATACTGGATATGCCTGAGACTAAAAAAAAACAAGTAACTGCAAATGACTGATGGAAGAAGTTAATTCACTCCATGTGAGACCATAATTATTTCATGTGCTTTGACACTTATTTCATGATGTTTCTGGCTTGTTTTTTTAGCTTGTTTCTACTTGTTAGCTTCAGATATCGCTATTTTCCTAAACAAAGCTGACATTAGAAACAACTTAATCGAAATGCAGAACATGCAGCAAGTGCCAGCCATGCATGGACAGATCAAAGAATGATTTGCTTAGCAAAGGCATTTGATTCTGAATAGTAGTGCACAACTCAGTTACTAATTAGGAAACTTAAACTGGATGTTTGTATTGAGTTATACATTGTTAAATCTATTGCAATGGCACCTTAAAAATGGATTTATCTTTTCTGGCAAGCTTTGACAAATTTGTGTGCAGGAAATGAGCAACGTTAATTCCACATGATTACATAAAATTCCAGTCCCAGATTTTTGTTGGATTAAACTTTTGTGCTTCATATATTGTTTATCCTTTATAATGCATCTCATCCAAAGTGGCTAGCTATACAAATGCATAATGAATAGTTCAGTTTCTATACTCTGTTTTGGAGCAGAAATTTAAAAATCATGTAGGAAAGTTAAATGGACAGAACATAATATCAGAATGCACATTTTAGGCTATTTCTGTCTCAAATATCTGTAGTAAATCACCGCCATCAGGCATTAAAACTTGGATTACATTAGTCAATTAAAGAGTTTCTAAAATTGACACTATCAGATTGCTAGTATACAGAGGAATTGTTGCTTTAAAGAAAAATACTGTGTTGCTGCAGGAAAGACAAGGCAAGCTATGAATGCATTCTTTATGCTTTCATTCCTGTTTATAATATGGTAATGGATAGGAACTTCATGTCCCAAATAACAGATGTGTTATCAAAGTGGTAAACAGTACACAGGTGGAACTATTTTCTCTAAATCTAAACTTTCTGCTACTTAAGTGCTTTGCAGGATCAGTATTTATATCATTACAATTCCAGTGCCAATAAAGGGAGGATGTTCTGCCCCCTACAGCAAGCAGACACGAAGTTCACGTGGTGGTTTGGTTGGTTGGGTTTCTGTCAGTTTTAGATGTTTGCTGTGTCTTCCTTAGACCTAATATTTTGTTCACTATTATGTTAGTGTTGCACCTGCTGACTTAAGCGTGGTCTTGGCTGTAAAGTACTTTCATACTTCAGAGAAACAAAGGATTTGATAAGCATACTGTAACAGTTCTGTAAGAGAAGGCTGGAATAGTAACATACTGTGTTTGATTATTCTACTGGAAATTTGTACACATTCCTTTCATTGTTCAATTCAGAACTAGAGCTTGCTTTGCTGAAAACTACCAAGTAGTATTCAGTAGCTTAGTGGTGTGTGTGCACAGTTAAGTATTTATACCACACAACATGAAACACATTTCCCAGGACCTTTGTGATTTCTTGCTGTGCTCTCAAGTTTCCTTTTTATCGGTTTCAGTTATATTAGCAATGTCTCCATATAGTTCTCCTAAAGATGGCATTAAAGACTGTGCTTTAGGGCTCCTTGCTGAAGCAATAGCGCCACCTTACGGAATAGAAAAATATACTTTGCTATTTCAAGAATAGCAGTTTTTGATTTGGTATTTCAGTGTTTATTTATGGTGTGATTGATGTGGATCACTACATGCTGTAACCACCTGGACCTAATAATGGAAAATCTGATTCAAGGTTCACCTGATGAGAATTGAGGTGTGTCAGCCATTGTGATAATAGGTTTGATCAGACAGTCACCATGAAAATAAACTCAGATCTGTCTCAGGGCTTCCCCCCCCCCCCCCC